TTTCTCTTTAAACCCTTAAATCAGACTGCTTGCAGCTGTTATTTTACTGATATACGTTTATTATGCCTAGTAATCAAAAATTCATTAGAAAGTGTCAAAAGGGAAATAACATTCCTTCATTTCTGCTTTCATCACAACTCTTGCTCAAAAACTGACAGAATGACAAACCATATAAAGAGTTTCCTTGGTAAATCTGGAAAAAAAAATGTTTTATGTAACTGTGGGTTTGAATTGCACCAGGATAAATAAAATATGCTTTTTAAACATTCACAAACCTCTTTTTCTTCTATTTGTTCTGTAATTCACAGAATATGAAACTGCCAACAAGTGGCCTACACCAGAACCTCTCTGAACATTTAGATACTGACCACCTCATGTCAACTATAGAGCAGCTGGTTTGGTCAAAGCCAAAAACATCAGAGTTACTGTGGACTGCAAGACACACCCCAGGAAGGGAGGAGAAAAAGAGAAATCCGACTGTCAAAACCTTCTTAAGGAATAATCCAGGCTGGCTGGCCACGGCCAACAGGGATAAACTGTAATTCCCTGCTCAGAATGTGAGCATGTGGTTCCATGAAGAGTGTAAATTTTTTTTTTTGTACTGATTAACCAAAAAATGTTTTTTTTTAATGTGTATTTATGACTAATTAGACACGCTGGGGATTGTTGGTCTCTACTGAAATGCAAGTTCTGAGGGATCTGGAGCAGTAAGCAGATTGAAAAGTGAGGATATGCACCAACCCAGAGCATCAGTGGAAACATTTAATTGGATCTGCACTATTAGGAAAAGACAGTTTTAGTCTGAAGAAATAATGAAAGAACACAAATGTGTATTTCAAGAAAAGTGAATGATTGCAAGAAGGGAAAGAGGAAGAGAAAGAAAGAGAACAATAGCTTATTCTCTCTTTGTTAGCTTGTGGTGTCAAAAGACATAAATCAGCAGCAGGATGGATTTCAGTAGGCTCAGTGTTTCCCCTGCCATTATATTATAAGGTCAAGTTAATTTTATTTAATTTTATTTTCTCTATAGCGCCAGATCACAACAGAAGTCATTTAAA